TGGCATATAAAATGCTTATATCATTTGACCTAATGACCCCTCACTTGGAACTTTATTAAAAAGAATTCTGAACATGGAAAATACTATAGATGTGAAGTTGTTCATTGCAATATTATTTATAATATCAAAAATTGGAAATAATTCAACTCCTAATATTGAAAGGTTATGGTTATGTAAACCATACATAACCATAGGTAAATTCTGTCATATTCGTTTGACTGAAATATGCAAGTAAATAAAATTATTGTTACTATTTGGTCATGTCAAAAGTGCTTTTGGGGCTTCCCTGGTGGCACAGTGGCTGAGAGTCCACCTGCCGATGCAGGGGACACGGGTTCATGTCCCGGTCCGGGAAGATCCCACATGCCGCGGAGCGGCTGGGCCTGTGAGCCATGGCCGCTGAGCCTGCGCGTCCGGAGCCTGTGCTCCGCCACGGGAGAGGCCACAGCAGTGAGAGGCCCGCGTACCGCAAAAAAAAAGTGCTTTTGGTAAGTGGCAGTAGCAAATTACAAAATTACCTCCTATCTTTATGTGTGCTTAAGTGGGAAGGGGGTGTAGGAGGAAAACTAGAAGAGAGAAGGTTTTGTGGGATTTTTTGGTTTTGGAATTATGGGTTAAGACACTTTCTACTCTATTATTGTTCAGCAGAAAAGGAGTCAAGATGGAGCTGTAGAAACAACACTAGACTTGGAGTCGAAGTCCCAGCTCCCTCCCTTGCCCTCCTTAAAATCTTGAGCAAGTTCCTCAGTCTCAGCTCTAAAAAGGAAATATAATAACTAGCTATGAAGGTCTTTGTGAGTAGTAAATAAGATGAGAGAACTGGCTGAATGTAGGTTGAATAAAGGTGCCTGTGCGGTGACTCTTTCTTCCAGCGTGGTAGAGGGATTGCAGTCCTGGCTATATTGGAATCCACCTTGACTTCAGGAGTTAGATGTGCCATGGTCACTACCATGTGCAGTGAATAGGGGACCTCAGAAAACGAATTGTACAGCTGTCAGGTCTCCTCTGCGGATTTGTGTTTACTTATTTTACTGACCAGAATGGGGGTGGGGGGAATGGGGTGGGTCAGCTTACAAAGAAGAAAGAATGTGGTCTAGACTTCAGGGAAAGCTGGGAAGAGAGATCTTACATCTTACTCTAAGATTAGCAGTAACTCTGGCCTCATATTCATGTTACTATGAGTCATGAAGATCATTTTTAATATGATCTTTAAAAAATTTTCACAGAAATATAGACTCATAGAATATTAGAAATACAAAGGGTTCCCAGTTCAAGATGGCTGTCTGTCTACATATTTGTCTCTTCTCCCTTCCAAAATGTTACTAAATGATAAAAAAGGATTTTTTTCTTTTTCTAATGAAGCCAACAAGAGGGGAGCTGTCCATGCATGAGAGATTTCAGCGGATTTCTGGGAAACAAAATTAGGTGGAGCAATGGTGACTGAAGAATTAGGATGAGAAAATCTAGGTTCCCAGTGATGATGGAAAGGGGGTTATAGGAACAGCGAACAGGGAGAGATTGGCCTTAAAGAACCCTGGAGAGCCAGGGCCCTGGAAATGCAGGCATATGGAAATGAAAGAGTAGAAATGAAAAGGATGAAAATGAAAGCTGAAAATGGGAAGGCTGATGAAACTCTACATATTTCCTGTCAGGTCCTTCACTTCTTCACCCCACTTTGAAATAGACTATCCATCAGGGAAGCATCTTTCTATCAGTTAGAAAATCAGAGGATTTTTTTTTGGAAAAAAAAAAAAAAAAAAAAAAAAAACAGCCCCAGAGCAAAGACCCCATATATTATGTCTGACTCCCTGCCAAGTCACCCTAAAACAAAGCTCCCAACTGCACAAGCCTGGCTCCTGTACGCAGAGCAAGACTGGCAGAGAGAAGCTGAGTGTGCAAATGCTAGCACATTCATCTGTGTTACCGTTAAGTATGAATAGACAGCTAAGGATGATGGCCAGATGTTTGAGCACATCCGTAAAACCTGCAAAGGGAAAGA